AAAACTGGCGATAGACCAAACAACCATATAAATCTTAAAGACAGGATTATGAATTCATCAAAAACATATAATAAACTTAATGTTCCAATATTTAATCTCGGGCCTGCCACCACCGTTGTAGATAACGAGAATTAATGAGCCGTCGTCAACCCCACAATAGATATTCAAATAACGCCTTTAAATTTTAATAATTTCGCAATCAAATCTATATGCACTAATATCTCCTATCATGGTACTAGCAACAACACCAACTATCATAACATACCTATAGACAGAGATGTATTTAGTAATTTTGCGTCTCAGGCAAGACAAAAAAAAAAAACACCTATTACCAACCTCAACTTTTTTAGTAATAGGTGTATTTGTAAACAAAAAAACATAATAGCTTATTAGTATCTGATCGAAGAAATATCGAACACAAAAATAAATAACAAGCGGTTCAAGTATATAACATATAACATTATTAATGTGATGCCAAATTCAGCCCCAATTTCAGGACAGTTTAACATCATATGTCTTGAAGCGATAAAAATGATTGATACCGTCTGGCTTAAGTTTGAAAGTCCAAGTCACTATTGAAGTACTAMAATCTAAATATCAGTGATATCTAAGATAAATATATATTAGATAGGCATAAAATGTGTWACAAATTTACAATATGAAGAGAAAAAAGAAAAGTCAATCAGTTATGCTGGTCAGTTATACCGGGCCATTCCAATATCTTAGAAAATTRAATGGATGATAAGGCAGAAAAAGATGCACTCTCTAATGCATTCTCTAGCAATTCAACTAATAACGAAACAGGACGTAATACATTTAATCAAACTTCGTTGTGATAATATGTGGTAGGTAGGTAAACTACAAATCCTTTTGCGTAAAACATCAAGAAATTAAAAAAGACGTATTCACATGGTTACATCCCACAGATCTTCCTAAAAAGTTCGAATTTAATCGTATTAGACTTCGGATCAGGCACACGCAGATTACTTACAGCCACCTAATGAGTAAAAATGATCCCCCCCCCTCTTGAATATGCCAATCACGCGGCATCTGTCTTATAATCGAACACATAATGACGAAATATCGTCTTTACTCCGAATCAAGAATTATCCCAAAACTTCTAAACTCCTTTCGAAATCTCTCTGCCACAATTAACAGATTCTTACTCAGWGACACCACCGAATTCATAATAAAATCTTCAAAATAAACTATAAAAAAATAAACTATTTTAAATACTTATACAAATTTAGATTAATATCATTAGAATTAAGTTATCGGTGTATTTTTATAAATAATACTTATAGCTCAATGGCTTATGTCACCATGGGCATTTTTATTGATAACAATAATAATAAAAATAATTTAAAAAAATATACAATTTAAGCGTTTTTTTTTCTTAAGCAATAGATTTATTATTTTTCCTTAACAATAATATTGTAATTTTTTTTACGGTAATACTGTGGCTGTAATAGTGTTTTTAATGTCTGTGAGCTGTTTGGAGTTAAATGACACTGTGACGGTCCGCTGTCCGTCATTTTCTGGCGTGAACACTTCCTTGTATGTGACATATTTTTCGTTAGGCATAACATCTCTATGTGAATAAATAATTACAATATAAAAAATAATTAAAAAAATATATTAACAAGATAATGCTATTGTAAAAATACTATAATTTATGCGGTATATTAATATAATGGTATTGATGTTTAGCGTGTAGGCGTTTACCTGAATTTGATGACTCTGTGGATTCCTGGGCCTTCAACACTGAATGTGCAGTCCGTTAGAGTGACAGATAACGGATTAGTGAAAGAAAATGTTGCTTCGCACTGTTTTTTAACTTGAAGTTGTGAATTTAGCTATAAGATAAATATTGTTACAGAAATTGTATATAATATATACTATGATATAATTTAATTTTGGAAGCTAATGAGAAATAAATGTAATTCCATATAAATAATCTCGGTTACAGAGGTTATATATAAATAAATACTTAAAATAAATACTGCATTTTATAGTAATGTAAATTTATTTTTTGATGAAAGTAATATATTGTACGGTACATTTTTTCAACTTCTACACTTTTTAAATGAAGTATTATTTTGGACCTTAACACGTCTTAACAAATAGGTAGGCAATGAGAATTTTCCCTTCTTTCAGAAGTTGTATATTATAACTATTGTAATGTTTCTTTAGGATGTTTCCATAGTGAGAATAGAATATGGGTGACCTATTTTTTCAATTCTTTCCATAAGTCTGTCGAGGTTTTAATTCAGTTCATATTTTTATCTTCACACTTACTTTTACGTCGAGCTGCGGCTTTTGCACAACAAAGTCATCATCTTGGCTCCACAGCTGTTCTGTACCTTCAACGTTGGCCACAGCCGTTATTCTTATTAAACTGTGTGACGACATTTTGTTCATGTACTCTGACGGTTTCATGAAAGTGTGGATGTTTTCTCCTAAATTAACAAACGGAAACTGTTAAACGTTTATCGTGTACATAATGATATGTCCGTAAAATGACTACCTATATCCAATCGAATGTAATATATTCGTATACTATAGGCATTTTTTTATTTTGAATATCTTGTACTTTTAAATTTTGAGTGGTTTGATGATTGTATTCA